TGCTCAACCCAAAACAGCTCCCCAGCACCCAGAGGGGCAGTGCAGGACATCTCAGCCTGATTTTGAGGTGGACCCCACCACCTTTAAGCCCGCAGCTGAACCTCAGAGCAGAGCAGGGCCTTATCGAGTCCATGATGCCCCATGAGCATCACCACCTCAGAATGAAGGACCAGGGTTGGGGGCCTGGGCAGGAAAAGGGCCAGGATGGGGAAACCAGGGGATGTGCAGCCCCGTGCTCCAACAGGAAGCCATGGGCACCCCATCCATGCTCTCCTCTGCTGCCCTGTCTGCAGCTCCAAGGAAGGACCCTTCGGTTTTGCATGCAATAAAAGAGCCACTCTGGACTTTCCAGGTGTCATGGCAGATCTTCGCCGTTATTTGCTGTCTCAGTGATCTCACCAGGAACAGGTTGGCTGCGCAGCCGGAACAAAGGTCAGGGTGCAGAGGCGGGCTGAAGGACATGTTGGGTGGAAGATGGCAGGAGTGGGGAGGTTTTGGGGGTTCAAGGAGGTGTTTTAGGAGGTGTTCAGGCATATGATGCCTTTTGCCATGAAAATGTATTTAGAGAACAGGAACAGCAATCCAGCTGTGTCTGTACTGGCCAGCATGAGGCCATACATAAGAAACAAGTTTCCACAAATATTTCCCCCCCTCACTTCTGACATTTGCAAGCAAAAATTTGTGAGGTAAAACTGAGGCTGCTCAGAGGCTGAATTCAGTAAATAACGACAGGTTTCTCCCCTTTCCAGCACCAAAGGAGCAGATCCAGGGAAGTGACAAGAGAAGGTGTGTGGCTCCATGTCCTGCTCTCCCTGCTCCCCCTAATCTTAATTAAATCTCAGTCCCCAAGTTATTTTTCAAGTGATGGTGAAGACTGGAAATAACTGAGGGAGAGGAAAGACTTGGAAAGTAAAACAGGGCAATGCCTGGGGACCACAAGCGGAGTCTAAAAGCCACAGGAGGAGTATGTAAAACAGCATCATAATGAAGTTGGAGTTGAGGGAACCTAATCAGTATGGAAAGTGGACTTTATTCATGAAAAACATAGCTAAAACATAGCTGAAATGCAAGACTTCTGGAGAGCAACAGGGAGATTTTGATGTTAATGTGGAATAAGACTCATGATCCTGCAAATGCAGCCGGGCCAGGAGGTGACAGAGGGAAGCGGGCACAGAGATGCTGGAGAGATGGATTCTGCCAGGAACGGCCTATAAAGAGCAGTGTAGTTCAACCTGGATATATAGATAGAGAGATAGAGATATAGATACAAGTTAGATATATAGATAGATAGAGATATAGATACAAGTTAGATATATAGATAGATAGAGATATAGATACAAGTTAGATATATAGCTATAGAAGATACAGATACAGTGCTGGCTGTTTGCATACACACACAAGTGTGTACACACACAAAAGGACACAGTCGGGGATTTTGAGCACTGCATCCCCAGCACTTCCTTGTCCCCTGCCCTGTCTCTTCTCTTGTTCTTTCTGCCTAATCCCGCTCCCTCCAAAAGCATCATCTCAGGCCCCATTACCACCACCAACGGCATTTCCTGGTGCTCTAGGCTCACACCACAGATCCTCCCCCTGCTCCAGTACCCATTCTCCTAATCCAACCTAATAAAAAGGCTTTTTATGTCTTTTTAATTCCTTTTCTGAAGCTTGTAAAATCAACACACGCACAGGCAGTGGCAAGTAAAGGCAAAAAAAATCCCCCTGCATTTGCAATGGGAGGGAACAGAACAAAGACCATATCTCCACGTGATAAAATTTTATTACAAAACATGAGGTGGACTCATAGTTGTTGGGGAGTTTCGAGAGGGGATTGTGTAACAAACAAAAGCATCACCGGAAAAATAAACCTTCCACCCGAGTTTTCCAGGACCCGATTTATTGTTTTTTCACATTGTGTTCATCCCGGACAGTAACGAACCCCTTTCAATCCACGCAGACCCACTAAGCGATACAGTGCTCTTTGCCTATTTACAGCCATTTATTTAAGATTTTTTTTCCCCCTGCTACGATACAGGCACAGCAGAGCTGCCCTCTCCCCCTGGGTTTGCAAACCTTTTCCAATGTCACCTCAGCGTCCCACAGGACCAGGGATGGGGGACATCCACACTCCCCAGAGATGTCCCTCCCATAGCAGAGGGGCTTTGCTCCATCACAATCGCTCCCCATTTCCCTCGTATTTCTCCCCAGGGAAGAGCTGCCCTTGGTCGCCAAGAGCTGCTCAAGGGGAGAGGCCATCCACTTCTGTACATACAAAAACAGAAAGAAAAGCTGAGGCTTGCTGTAGTTTTCCTTTGGTTTTTGGTTTGTTTTTAAAGTAAAACATTTGCCTGCAGAGCATTTTGCATGCAGAGCAGTGGTGCTGCTCGGGAAGCAGTACCGCATTGGTGTGGTTTTTCACTGTTAAGAGGCTTCTTCCTCTGCCCCTCCATCATCCATTTTTATTCTTTTTAATATGCATATATACATACACACACGTTGTCTATGCGAGGATGAGCAGATGGATATTTTTTTTTCTGTCCAAAAAAAACCCAAGAAGATCAGGAAAATTATTTAAATTTCCCCCAGGATTCAAAGCTGCCTGTTGGTTGCTTTCGCTTTGTTACCAGTTTTAGTGAACAGGTTTGGGGCCCAATCAGCAGAGCAGGGGAAGGAGAGAATGAAAGGGTTGGGGAGGGGAAACCGGAGGTTTCCTTCTCCAAAAAACAAGACGGGGGGCAATGAGATCCCTCTGAGACGGCCATGGGTAACCCCGTAACTTGATGGCACACACGGTGGCTGGATCAAGCCTGTGCCCTGCAGTTTGTCTCATGCTTTTGGGAGGTTCAACCACAAGAGATACACCAAAAAAAGGTCCTTACATATGGAGGTTGCAGTTACTGCCGGGAGGGTCCAGGGACTGCGGTGCCAGGGCTTGGGAGCTGATTGGGTGCCAATGGAGCAGGGTGGAGCCCAGCAGGTCCCAGCATGGCTCCGTTGGGTCCCCACCAGCCCCACCAAGCAGCCTGGAGACACCGGCAGGGACCAGCTGAGGCATCTCCACATCACCCTCAAATTCCTTTGGCATGAGCTCAGGCATGCACCTTCCTACACCCATTCTCTGAGGGGTTTTTCCATCATCTGAGACCTTTCCTGAGCCTCTCCAGACCCGTCTTCACGCAGAAGCAAGAGGTAAAGCTGCCTCCTGTGTGGAGGCTTCAGGCCATGCACCACTCTTACACCCCTCCCCATTTTTGGGGAGGGGGATATGGCACTGCATGCCCTACTCGCTCATATGGCTCAGCCCAACCTCCAAGGCAAGGAGGAACGCAGGACACAGTGGTGGCATTGGCAAGGTCCTGCTCTGTGCCCTGAAGAGGAGCCAGGCCCCACAGCCAAAAAGGTCGATGGCAAACGAGTCCGTTTGCTCCAGCATCTGCTGATCCCCAGGGAGCTGTGATGAAGAGCAATGAAAGAGCTGGGAAAAGGACATGGAGGACATAGACATGGTCAGCAAAAGCTGATTTATGAGCCAGATTCTCCAGTCCTCACATGAACATGGCATGAAGAGGGTGACACCATCAAACCCTGCAGGCAAAGGCCCTAGCACCATCAGGAAAAGCCACCCAAGCCATCTCCCAGCAATTTGGTGGCCTGACTTCACCCCTCCATTGCCAAAGAGCCACAGGAAGGGCTCACTGGCACCGCCAGCCCCAGGCACAGAAGCCATCCCCAAGCCTACACCACACCATGAATTGTTTGAAAAAAGGAGGAGAACAGTGCTGGCAAAATCAGTATTCCATTGAACACACCAGGCCCATTATTTGCCCCTGCTTTATTTATTACCTGCACAGTGCTGTTTGAACTGGCACTGTCTGGTTCTTGCTCTGCCTAAATTTAACCCCCAGTAGACACTGAAGAATGGCTGCTGTGCCCCACACATCACAGCACCCCATGGATGAAGAGGAACGGTGCCTTAGGGAGCCTGAGGCGGGTGACCCTGTGAGGTAGGTAACGTGATTACAATCTGAACAGCAGGATTTATTGGAATTTGTTTGAAAACACTTTTTGTTTTCTGTCTGAACGTGATGAAAAGGCAACAGCAAAAGACCAGTGTGTGATGGGCGATGACTGATTCCTTGTGTGCGTGTTCAAGGCACGAGCAGAGCCTGCCCAGTGCTTTCTGGGGAAAGGCATGGTGTATTCTGACAAACCAGAGCTTTATCAGTGGCTTTTTGCTTTTGCAGTCCCCTGGGTGGCTCAAAGCCCCATGCTGGTCCTCCCAGAGACACCTCAATTCAAAATTCATCTTGGAAGCAGAAATGCTATGGACACAATCAAAAAACCTGGCCAAGCAGGGCAAATATTCACAGTCCCAAGTGAGCCGGCTGCCAAGAAACCACAGGTGGGCTCCACAGGACAGAGATGAAGGCTTGAGTCACCTGCTTCTGTGCTGTCCCTTGCTTGAAGGCACATCAGGTATGTCAAATGCCCCCACAGAGACTGGGATTGTCACCCCAAGGCATGTAGTCCTGTTCTCATCTGTCAGAGGTACCACATCCACAGCCATGCCATGGGGCAGTCCAAGAGGACCTCTCACCCATCACAGCCCTCCTTGGGTTCAAAGGCACCACCCTGAAAAGGGGGGGGGTAAAAAAAATATCCCAAAGAGCTTGAGACACGAAGGACAGTTGCTCCTGAGTGACAAATAAATAGCAGGTTTGCTGGAAAAAAGCCCTTTGGAATCCAAGGTCCATCACCCTAGAGCTGCCAAGAGCCTGGTCATGAGATCAGTCTGTAATTATAAATCTTTTTTAATGAAATATCTTTTAAAACCAGCAACAGTCAAGGACAGGGCTTGCAGAGGGGGCTTTGCCCGTTGCCCCTGCCCTGCCAGTTGATCACAGCATGGGTTTGTTCCTATGTACAAGAGGAGGAAAGGCCCCTCAAGAAAAAAAAAGAGTTTCAGCTGCTCTTGGAGAAGTGGCGAACGCAGGCAGCTCCTAGTTCTGGTGCCGCTTCATGTGGAGAGCCAGATGGTCAGAGCGGGAGAAGCACCGGCCGCAGGCGAGGCACTTGAAGGGTTTGGCGCCCGTGTGCTTCCGGTAGTGCCGGGTCAGCTCGTCGGAGCGGGCGAAGCGCCAGTCGCAGCCTTCCCATGTGCATTTGTAGGGCTTCTCGCCTGCAGGAACAGCCACAGGTCACGGGCACAGCACAACCCCACCACAGAAGAGGCACACGCATCTGCCCAGCCTCCCAAAAACCCACTCCATCCTCACAAGGATGCCGAAGGTCCAAGAGGGCACCCGCTGCAGAACAGGGCTTGTAGCCACACTGCTGCTTCACATTGCCATGAGCCATTTGCTATATACAGTGTACGGCCACCGATTGACCATGAATCAATTGCTGAGCTGCAGTAACCAGGTCTCGTCCACATGCCCCTGCCCCACTTTGCTTTCTAGGCTTGATTTCTAGCACTGGTCAAGTTCCTGTTGGATTCTGGAGAACTTAAGGCTAAAAAAAAAAAATTTCTGAGGGTTTGCTTTGGGTTTTTTTCATTAACTAAAAAGCCAAAAATTCCCATAGAAAGTGTTGCTGCTCATAGAGGTGGGGGCACCAGGAGGAAGAAGGATGCATAGGGAATGGAATCAGGAGGAAGAAGGGTACACAGATTTTCCTCAAAGCCTCACATCTTTGAAACCACCATCTCCTGCTCCCCACCACAGAGTTCAGCCCTGCAGCAGCTCTCAGTACACAGAACACTGTGTTTTCTTCAGAGCATTCGGGTGACGTAACGCCTCTGCCCCCCTGGCCATACACACCTATTCCCGAACTGAAATCAATTCAATTGTGCAACTTCACAGCCAGCTGGGAACTGGCCTGGAAAAGCCCGTGCCCAGCTTGGGGAGCTAAACCCTGGCTGCAGCCCTCTCCATGCATGGGTGTGGTGCTCTCAAATATTAGCCCTGCTCTTAACAGCCTGAACAAGCAGGCAGAGTTCAGGGAATGTGCTGACTTTCCCGACCTCAAATATTTACCGTTTCCATCGGCCAATTGCCGAGCGCACCATCACGGTGTGAGCGCACGTACGCACGCAGCGTGCATGCACAGGCATGTGTGCCCTGCTCTGGCATGTTTCCTGGCCAGCCTGGATGCTAGCATTTGGCCAGGACACAGAAAACATTCAGTCACAGCAAGAACTTGCATCTTGCACGCACCAGACAGACTATGAAAGCACAGACACGCAAACCCTGAGGAGACGGGGCACCAAAACCACCTCCTGCTCCCCGAAATGTCCCTGGGCTCTGCAGCACAGGGAGGAGCGAGGTGTGGTTTTTATGTCTTGGGTAAATACAGACTTGAAGTCAATTTACAAGCAGCACCCTGGCTGTTTCACGGCGCGCCAGGGATCTCAGGGTTTGCGTGAGCACGCTAAGACAAAGGTGGGGATTTGCACTGCGCAGCCACAGACATTGTCCCAGGTCACCTGGCTGGGTCACCTCTACCAAGGCCCTGTGGTTCCAAACAATAACAGGTTGCTCTCCAGGATAGAAATCAAATGCTTTCAATTGTCCCCCGAGCTGGCTCCATCTCCCAGGACAGCACGGCAGGGCAAGCTCAAACAAAGGGCCCAAAGCAGCATTCCCAGCCCCCAGGGAGGGAGGAGAGCAGCCACCGGGTTATATATTTAATCGCACAATGGCACCCAGGAAATGAATGGTGTCTCCAGGAGATGAATGCAGCCCAGCCCGTAGCAACGGGCAAACCACAAGAAAAGATCTTGGAGATCATGCACTTCTCAGCCCAGCTCCCATCAGGCAAGGAAGGGAGAGAAAGGGCATTATTAACCCTTCAAGCAATGGTGCTGAAGTGGCATCAAGCATATTTAGCTGGCAGGAGCTGGGACAGGCCCCGTCATTGCAGCTCCAGTGCTCAGCAAGGCTGAGGCCCCAAAAGGAGAACACGAGGCTTCAAAAATTGGACACAGACACTTACACTGCCTGCATGTGGCTCTCTGGTTGGGATTCCTTTCTTTTTATCTGCCCCACAACACCACCTCCTTTCTTGACTACTCAGGTCACATCCTCCTTTGCCTCTCTGCCCTCTTACAGCGAAAGAGGCAAATGCACTTGGATCCCCAGCCCTATTTCTGGGAAACCTGGAAAAATGACTGCATTTTATTGGGTTCAAAAACCACCCAGGTTCACCCAGCCACATCTTTATACTGTGATGGCGCATGTCTCACATGGGTCACATCTGAGCTAAGAACCCTGCTCTGAATGGAAGAGATCTTTCATTTTAAAGCGAGAGCCCCAGCCCTGAATGCAGAGAGCTGCTGTGACAAATGCTTATCACCACGCAGCTCTCAGAGCCAGGACAATGTCCTTCCTGTTCCTTTCTTCCACCCCTTCCGTCTTGTTCTCCAGCCCACTCCTACCCAGGCCCTGCCAAAAAAATGTTGTACCTCATGCACAAAGAAAAATTCTTTGCTGACTCGTTGGAAGGCCTGATAAGATGAAAACGGAACAGAGCCAAGTGCAAGAACTGATTCCCAGACTCAGGATGGGTTTTGTTCGTTGTTAATAAAAAAGAAAAGTGAACTCTGGGCCAGCTTAATTGCTTTCAGTAAAGATCAGCCCTTCTATAAAAGAGATTTATGAGGGCACTGATGGTTCCTGGACTACCTGGGGATCTGATAAAGTTTCAGGTATAATAAATGCCTTAATGAGAAGACCTGTGCTTGAATCACAAGTGCCACTGAGCAAGGTTTACCCCAGGAAGCTGCTCATGGTGGGAGATCTTCTGTGCTAGCAACCCAGACAACACCAGCAAGGGCAGCCCACGGCACCTTTGCCCATGGGAATGAGGGCACAGCTCTCCTGTGGACATATTCAGGGCCCTTCTGTCCATGAATTTAGCGGCCTCAGTGATCCACCAGATACAAGTGGTCTTGTGGCTGGTACACAAGGAAATACAAGGGGTTCCTTCCTCTCCTTGGGAACCACAGGAGCACTCAGCACAAAAAAGACAGCCCTCGTCTCCTCAGAGGCCGTGGATATGCACCACATGCCTTAATGCAATCTTAGGCTAAGCAGGATTGGACCTGGCTAGGATTTAGGAGATTTCAGAATGATAGAGGGTTGGGGTCACCTCCTCCTCCCAGTCCATCGACTCAAGAGCCTCCAAGGGTGCTCCTAAATTGTAGGCCACCTCTCTAGAAGGCAAGCAAGTACACACAGCAGCATAGTCGCTATAAACCAGTGCAAGCATTGCACATCACTAGACTTAACTGTGCTCCTTGCCCCACTAGCCAGCCTAGATTAAGGTAATCAACTCTATATAATCACCATCATTAACAGTCAGTGCCAGAAAGGGAGGCTGGCAGTTCCCTGCTGATGCAGCGCTCTTACCTGTGTGAGTCCTCTGATGGGCCTTCAGGTGCGAGCTCTTGGTATAAACTTTTGAGCAACCTGCAACAACAGAAAAGACACAACTTCCCTGTGAGAAAGGGGCCCTCGTGCAAACAAACCCAGAATATTTATATTTGAGGTTAGGGACAGAGCAGGCCTAGGTAACAGCATGCAAATAAGTCTGGCTCTACCCGTTTTATTTCAGCAGTAACTAAAGAGCATTTGTTCTCCCAGACAAGCAGACCTTTACAACTCTCCATCTTCTGCCACACAATCCTGACACCCATGGGTATTGTGCTGGGAATTAGTGGGGGCGGGAAGGAAGGGGCAGGCACAGACTTTCAAATCTCCCCTTCCCCAACCAGGTCTTCAAGGCAGGATGAAAACATTAAATTCACCACCGTTAGCTGCAGGTTTTTCTAGATTCCAGACTAAACTGCTATCAGTACTGCAAGGTGGGAGTGAAGACATATTTTGCAATAGCTCCAGCCCCAGAAGATGTGGTGACAATGTTCCAGGAAGCAGGAAACGCCAGGTACATGGAGATCAGCAACAACAGGTTTAATCAAGAGGGTTTTAACAGAAACACCGTTTCTGTCCAAAGCTTCATTTCCCCATGAGCACATCAAGGAAAAAGTGCTGGGGACGCCACCTGGAAACGTGCATCAGGGCTTCACAAACAGGTCTCCCCTGTTCATCTGGTTACCGGTGTGAATTTGGCGTGCCTCCTGCCGCTTCCTCACGCTCACCACGCCACTACGACCTGCTGCCCCGCCACCAGTCCTGACTGGTTTCACCTCCAGCTGAACCTCAGCACGAAGGATTAGGAGCAGCCCTCCTCTGCCTCCGCACGTACACACAATCCAGCCACCCAGTGTTTATTCAGTGCAGGTTGTGGGGTTTTTCCACACCATAGATGTGTTCCTGCCTTCCTGTGCAGACCAGAATCCTGCAGGATGAGGCTCTTGCTCTACTCAGTTCTGCTAAGTTCGGCTGGAGTTCTGTCTCCACTTACATCCGTAATCTGTCTCCCACCATGACCAAAATGCAAAAAATTAAGCACAAACCATTAAGCACAAGAACATGGGCGCAGCTTTTGGCTCAGAAAGCCCCTAATCTGCAGGTTTCCGAGGTTGGGAAGGTACAAGCACAGAAAGACCTTTCTAAACTCGTCCTATTCTTGTACACTTCCTCAGGTCGCTGCTGGAGACAGGATCTGGGCTGGACAAGCCTCTGGGCTGACCTAGTACAGCCACTCTCGTGCCACAGAAAGAGCACATCAATCTTGTGGGAGGCAGTGAGGAAATTACTTTCCTCGGTTCACACACCCCATGGGAAAGCTGTTTGCTAATCCCCAACAGCTCAGTGGCCGGGGCCTGGCCCAGCAAGTGGGAGGTGTGCGTGTCCCTGCTTTCAAGCCCTCATGCCAGTGTCACTTCTCGCTAAGGACACAACTACTTCTCTCCCATGCGGCATGAATGAGTTTACAGCTGTGGGTCCCACAAGCTCCCTGTGCACAGTGCAGGAAACCCTGCAAGATTTCATTACAGGGCTTTAAATGAACAGTCTCATGCAATGAGGTGACGCACAGGGAACAGCTTCAGCTCTGGGCTGATCCCTACCCTGAAATGCCTTTCCACACCATCCTGATGCAGCACAAGTAGTCACTGAAGGACAGGACGCAGAAACATTTGGCTCATTGCATCTTTGGAAGAAGAGAATTTGGGCTACAGAGAGACCCGTAAAGGCTGTTTATGGAAATTATTTGATGGTTTGCCACTCGTTATGGGAGAGTGGGAAAGCAAAGGTCAGTGAGAAAGCCAGTGTGGTTTCACCTGCAGAGAGCACGTGGCTGCTCAAGGCTGGGCAAGACCAGAGCGAAACAGGCAGCAGCTTTCCAGGAGCATCCCCGTGCTTTGCAGGTGCTCTCTGCCTCTCAGAGTAAGGCTCGCTTTTGCCAGAGTGCGAAGAGGAAAGGGAAGAAAAAAAGACATCAAAAAGCACAGGCAGGATTGACCTCTTCTACTCCCTTGGTGGTGGCAGGAGCCCCGCTTCCCTGGGGCTCTCCACCCAGCTCCATGGCTACCTTCATCCCAAAAAGTGATTCTGCATTAAACTCCTGGAGAGGCCCAAGGCAGCTCCCAGCCTCAGTGTGTCAAGAACAGACACTCACCCCCCACCCAAAACCAAGCCAGCACATCACCCACGAGCATACCTGGGAAATCGCAGTGATGGATTCTCCTCTTCTCCAGCTCAGGATTGTTGCGTCTGTTGTATTTGGGGGGCTGCATGACAATGTGCCCTTGGGAGAGGGTCCCAAGGCCATTGGGGACTGGAGGGACCTGAGATGACTGGACCAACTTCAGTCCAAAAGTGGCTTCATAGGATGGTGGGGGAGAGATGGTGTTGATGAGCTCAGGTTGGTTTTCTGGGCTGCCGGGCTGTGAGTTGGGGGGCGAAGGGGGCAGGTTCACCCCTGGGACAGCGTAGAACTGCCCCGAGATGTTGAAGTTGCCCTGTCCCTGGGAGATGTGTGGGTACTGCTTAACTGGCCCTCCCGGCTGCACGGGTCTGTGAACCACACTGGACATGGTGCTTCCTGTGGACATGGTGACACCACTGAGGCTGTTGACGGCCGTGGTGCTGTTGGAGGAGGGCGTGAGCGTGGCAATGTCGCCGCTGCCATTGCCAAGAGGCATCTGGTAAAGCTGGGGTTGCTGCAGATTGGCAGAGAGGGGGATCTCAGAAGGCATCTCCTGCTTGATGAAGATGTTGTTCACTGCCACTGACTGGGGCATGCTGAAGACACTGGTGAAGTCAGGCAGGGTCTGCGTGGACGCAGAAGAGCAGGGCTGGGCAAAGCTGGTGCCAGGCTCTGTTTTGATCTGTGGGAAGGAGGTCATGGGTTTAGGTGGGCGGTAAAGTCCAGTGCGCAGGTGCGTCGTGTCTGGCAGAATCACATTAATGTTCACGCTGTAGGGCGTCGAAGAGGGCTTCTCTGTGGAGAAGAACTCATCCACCACGGAGGCACTCTCCCGGCGGTACTTCCCGTCTGGTATCATTGGGATGGGTGGCACCTCGTTTGAAAGGTACTTATCCATTTCAGACCGTGCCTATGGCAAAAATGCAGACAAGAAAACTCGTGAAGAGTGGCCTTGGCACACTGGTGCGGGGAATCCAGCATTCAACAGGTGCCGAAGGTAGCAGGAAATCAAGAGAGCAGTGAGAACAGCCAGGGAGTCACCCGCTGCGGTGATTTAGCTCCAGTCCCTGACTCAGCCACAGGCTCCCCAGGAGTGAATCACTGTCCTCTGTCCCACTTCCCTTCTACCTCTCTGCACCGATAACAAAGGGTAAGCCAGGCAGAGGATGCAATTCTGAGAGAAACACAGCCGATAATGAAGAGCCAAGCTTTAGCGACAAAGCTTTGGTCACACAGACAAGAAAATTTAATGGTAGAAATGGGTTTAAACCAGAATCTCTGCTCCTGTCAGCCTCATGCTTTGGGCATGGCAGATCTGCAGCCCACATTAGACATCCTCATTCGGGTCTCCTTCAGACTCAGAGATGTATTGCATTTTATTCTAGGACACTATCTTTAACTGAGAACGTTCTAGGAATATATCTTTAATTAAGATTAATCTGGGCTATAACTCTAGAAATCTAAGTGACGTAGCCACTAATTCAGAGGCCTGTGAGCCTAAAATGGAAACTGCCAGGCATACTATTCCTGTCCTGTCTCAGCAAAATGACTCAGCCCTCACCCAACCTTTGGTTTAGTTCTGGTTTTGCAGAGCTGTTTCCACAAGTCTGGGTCCTCCGAGCTCACAGGACCTCTAGCTCAACCACCGCCTGCCAGGTTTCTTCCCCTCCTGGTTCATGTCTGATGCGGCATCCCATTGAATCCAAGCCAAATAACTCGGCAACCTGATGGAGCAATCCGCTAGGAAATTCATCCCCTGGCATCTGATGACTCAAGTTCTGCTCTTTGTGGTTAAAGATACCAGTGCTAATGCTCTTCTATAAAGCTACAACCTTTAATTATGTGGTTATCCATGTGTCAAGCTCATTGCAAAGCCCTTGTAGATTCATTCATATGTAGAAGAGCTGGCAAAACCACCAGGTTTCCCTGGAAGAGCCTACAGCACACTTGAGGAGAGGAAGCTGCTCTTGCCCCACACCCTGCACACTTGAGCCAAGGGTTTTACAGCGCTGAACTATGTCACCAGAGTGCAATGGGCCAATGTCATCCCTGCTGTAACTGCACTGCTCTTAACAAAGCTGGACGAGACCCAAGAGATTTCCTCGCCCTTTCCAGCGAAACGCATCACCTGTGCTTCCAGCTAATTCAAAGAGCCTTTGCACCTCTACAAGCAATACTGGCAATGCATGGGTAAGCTGGCTTCCACCCAAATACAGGTACGTGCCACAGATATACCCTTTTCTACACGGACAGAAGCTCAGAGCAGCTGGACTTGGAAGTGCTACTGCACTGGAATGAAGTACACTGCACTGGGACTGTGTTTTCTATGCTGTGCTCGCCACACTGGTGCATGTACACACTGCGCTGTAAATCCTGTCCATCCTCCTCAAACGTGCAGGCCCTGAGAAGTCCCTGCCCTCATTAAAGGATGCTACATTGGCACTACAAGCTCACTTTATGTCACATTCTCACCCAATCACCTCTGCTCAAGGCAGCACTGCCTCCAGCAACAACTCCTCCCATGCTCCAGTGAGGAAATCCTTACTCAAGCATCCCCTAAAGCTAAGGCATCAGTGGGAGGCAGGGAAGAAGATCAGAGACCCTCAACTCTGTCCTCGCAGGCTGGTTCAAAGCCCTGATTTCCCCTGTGCTCCCCATCTGCAGCGTCCACATTGGGTTCCTGCCCGAGGGAGAACCATGGCAAAGGTTTGGAGCTGAACGTGGAGCGCTCCTGCCCTGTGCACCCACACTGGTGTATCACTGTTGCCCGCAGGAGCCAGCTCGCTCTAGGCAGTACCAGCAGCTCCGGATGCCGAACATACCTGAGCAATGAAGTGACCCACTTGGAGGAGTGGGGGCAGGGCGAAGGTGTTGGATGCCTTTTACTTCAACACTTCCCTTATCTCTGGCATCTCATTTTCTCACCTTCAATTCCCAAGGGAAGGTCTCCCCCTCACAGCTCCAGTGGGTCTTTATGTGGCAGGTGACCAGGCAGGTATATTAAATGTGCAGAGGCAAGGAAGGCCTTCGTTTCATAACGAAAAACCTTTTTCAACCAGAGTCCCCTTATCCCCTCCTTGTTCTCCCTGTTCAGTGTCTCCCAGTCACCTTTTCTCTCATAATCACCTGGGCCTGCAGAGCAAAGTCTTCTTCCTGTCACGTCACTAAATGCTGCTGTGTCCCAGGTTCCACACGACCCAGGGGGCCCCCAGTGTCTTTCGAGAAGGGGGAAAGGGACGCTTTGTTTGTTTATGGCCCAGAAATGCTTAGCAACTACTGTTTCTAAGCATTATGGGTGCTGACACCTCATACCAAGCCAGTTCCCTAGGCACCTCCCACCAAGCCAGTTCCCTAGGCACCTCCCAGCCAACCTCCATCTAAAACCAACCCCTCAGCCCAGCACAACTGGGATGACTAAGTGTTGACGTGTCTGGGTGGGAGCCAACTCTAGTGTCCTCAATGCAGGTATCTCTATGTGGCTGTCACTCATGGCTCCTTTCACAGTTGGTGGGGATCCAGTTAATGAAGACACGAGATGTGGAAGGAGATAGCTACACGGGCATCCGTGTGGCTTGCACATATGGAGACACCACGAGCAGGAGGAATGCACCATGGCAAGGGCAGAAGGATAGAACGGAGGTGCCACCATATCCTTGCCAGTGGATCAGGTTGGCCTGCACTGGGGCTGGGCAGGGCAGGGCGAGGAGTCCCAGCTCAACCTCGTGGTGGCTTTAGCGGTACCTTTCACCAACAGACGCATGCAGAGGGAGGAATGAGGAAAGCACTTCACCTCAAGAATGAGTGGCGGCATCCGCTGTTCCATCCTCATCGGGTGTAGCTGTGGGGCAGACAGGGCTGGGTTAGTGGGGTGGCCTCCCCCATGGCTCAACTACCCCCCACAGACCTTCCAAACCACCCCTGGCAACGGAAGGCCTCCCCTCCCCTCTCCTCTCCCCAGCCCCTGGCAACCTGCAGGGGCCAAGCTGCCCACCTTGCCAGCAAACTGGTCCCTACCATGATCACCAGCTCCTCTGGCCTTCAACCCCTCAGACACGGAAGCTGAGGGACAGTGGTTGCTAGGCAACAAGGCCAGAACACCTGGAGGTATCCACATCACCGCCTGCAGGCCGGGAAGACCAACAGTGAGGGGGTGAAGCCAGCCCTGAAGTGTGCGGGGGCAATGCCTCCTTATGGGCATGGCCAGCCCCACTGTGGGCAGGAGCCATGACAGCTCCTGGCTGCCCTGGCCAGCTATGGGGACCCCTTGAGTTTGGTGAACTCTGGGCTTCTCACAGGGAAGAAAGGCTAGCTGAGAAATACAGAGCTTTCCAGAGGAGGCTTTGAAGCATGGCGTAAAGATCTTCAGAGGTTTCCAGCCCAGTCAAACCCACAAGTTCTCCCAGTTCCCGTGCTGTGTCCTGGGAACAGGCTGAAAACCACCAGAGCAGGCATCAAGGACTGAGCCCAGCACACTCACTCAAGTCATGGATGAGATGTTTTGGGGGTTTTTTGAGCCCACAAGTGGTGGTCCAGCTGCTGGACCACTCAATTTGGGGTCAGTCACACCAGGAGACCAACAAAATGCTCTGCTCTGCCAGTCCTCTGCATTCCAGACCTGCCACGGTAAGCAGCACAAACACAAAGGAAGCAATTGAGGGCAAAGTGGGCCCCATCAGGAGGAAGCCCTGCAGACACTGGGTCTTTGCAGCCTCCTCAGCCAACCCAAGTGGGTCCTGGTGGTGGTCTACAGCCCTGCCTGGGGTGGCTACAGAGAGGGCAGCTGAGGACACTGTTGAGCTCAAAAGAGACAGCAGTGACCTGGAATGCTCAGCCCATCCCTTCCTTCCTGTCTGCCAGCCACAGGCAGGGAATTAACCATTTTCGTGCCTTTTTGAGAAGGACTGAACTTATCACATAGCCAGGGAGCTCAGCTCAACACTGCAATAAAGATACCCATCATGACTGGATGGAGAAAGCCTCCAGGGTTTCTAGCTGAACACCCTTGAGGTCTTCTTTGGCTCAGTGGCCCAGTTTCCCCTATAGCCATTAGCAATGCCATCACTGCAATCACCAGAGACAAGGATGAGATACAAGGTATAGAGGCAGGCACACCCTAGGCTTCACAAACTGCATCAACAAGGGTTCCAGTGACCATAAAGGGAATTATAGGTCACTAGTTCAGGCAAAACATGAGCAAAGGGGAAACACAGGCAAAGCAGACATCAACAAAACTTCTGTGAGTTTAGAGGTGTCCAAACTTGGATCTTTGGTTTGGCCAGGAAAGGAAAGCCAGTAAGAACAGCTTTCATTCAATAAAAGCATTGGACTCCTGTAGTATTTTCCCCTCAAAGTTATAGTATCTATGCCAGACCACAGAGGAGGGTCTTTTCAACCTGTCAGAGAAAAGAAAGCAAAAAAAAAAAAAGGAAAGAGGTTGGAACAGACACTTTGTCCACTCCAGACAAGGCCACTGGACACCAGTTTGTGTCACTGGACCAGCAGGACCATGTCACACTCAGCACTGGCACATCCAAACCTGGGACTTGGCAACTGAAATTCCCTGGAGGGCAAGATAACATCAGCAGCCTCTTGTGGAGCACCCAGCACTGTGAAACCACCAAAAACCCAGCCCTGAAAGCCAATTGAGTGGATTCTCCTGCAGCTAATAGGGACTGACATGAGTCTGCCCCCTCTTCCATCTGCCTACTTTCATAAATCCTGCAGGAGCCTCCTGCCTTGGAGACCTCTATCCCTCTTTCAGGTATCAAGACGAGCCGTTATCAGGACATGGATCAATACACATGGCATCCAAGACAAACGTTTCTTGGGAAGACGCAGAAAAAAAAGCAGTGCTTAAGCCAACCATGCCATTTTGCCAGCGATTAACTGTGAGCACCA